TGCATGTGAGGCTAGTGATTCTAGCTATAGTGGGTCTCAGCACCACTCCACCAGTCTCACTTTCCCTTCATTTACAATTGAATCTATTCAAGTCGTTTGCACTCACATGTTGCTCAGTTGTCAGTTCACTGATGTTTATCTTTCCTTGATCACCATCCCATTGAAGTCGCTCTTCACAGAGTGCAATCAGTGATCTCTATCAGTAATTTCAGAAGACATTCTTCAGGTACTTGTTACTTCAGGCCTCAACCAGTTCTAATACAACTGACCATTTCTTCATTCCCTTAATATCTTTCAAACTACATTCTCTAAATATCACTTTATTCCTAATCTCCCATCCTCTCTTTCTTGAGAGTATTTGATCTCTCTTCTCTCTCCCTCTCTCCCTCACTCTCTCACCCAATTAATTCTCCTCAATGTTTTTTACTGGCTAAAGTCCCCAAATTCATATGCCTTTAGGAACGAAAAGGGGCATAAATAAGTACCCAATCATAACTGGAATTAGTAGTTGAAAACGGGCGGGAACACACAGCCTGCCAAAATGGCTCAGAAGGAAGCACAGATCACCTTCCCAAATCCCTGCGTTCTCCTTAAGTAGTCACAGAATTCCAATCTCCCCGAGTAATTCACAGAGTTCTTCTCCCTAAGTAATTTATGGGATTATATTCTACATCTTCATCTCTTCTCTTGCAAATTTGCCCCCAATCAAACGGACATCCCCATCCGCCTGGCTCACATTTGTGTCAGAGTCAGACTCACCCTGCCTAAAGCTGAACCGAGTGTCCTCCAACATAAGTCTGTCTCGTTCTTCAAACTAACAACCGGCATCTCTCAGGTAGCGCGTGCTAGAAATACATCTGCCCATAGTAACTACACTGTATACCTAAAATGTGCCAATAAACTCCATGAGAAATAAATAAGTAAATAAACTCAAAATTAAAAAAAGAAATAAATCTGCCCATAACGCTAGACTCCTCTCTTTTTTATTCGTAGCGTTTAATCACCAATTTTTGCAAACGTAATCTCCAAATATTTCTAAATTTTCTCCATTACCGTCCACCTTTAATACTTATTTCCTAGTCAAGGCTGCCACTTTCTCTCACTCGAGTTAATGCTAAATACACAATGCACCCCTCAACCGGAACCCCTTTAATCCTTCTCTAATCACCAACAATCCTCCCCAAGTTCTTAAGACACCTCAACAGCATGTGATATTCTTGGTCACTTCCTCTAGGCTCAAAAAGCTGCTGTTTTGATTTCTATGATCCAACGAATCCTGGCTTACTTTTCTGTCACCCAGTTACTCCTTGTAATCTTACCCCTAGTCCTTCTTTACTGCTAGATGTGAGACTGTTTCAACTTCCCAGGATGCAATCATGAACGTAATTCTCTTTACCCTTTACACTTTCTAGATAAATGCAGGCTCCACTCCCAGCGTATGATTCCTTGAACCAAACATCTTCATTACCAATCTCATCTCTGTTATTTCATCGAGTCTCTGATATTTCATACAATCCTCAAATACAAGCTGTTTATTGTTTTTACCCAGGACCTTTTATTTTCTCCTTTTCTTAGCTCATTAAATCATAATGACAGTTTACCTTGTGCTCAAGCCCGAAACTTCAGAGACAGTGTCTATTCTTCGTGTCTTTTACCACACTGTCTGTCCCTCAAATATGTCTAAAACAATAAAATAGTACAACTGTGACAATAGTCTTGGATAGAATTGCCAGCATCACCACTCTCGTACTTTGTGTTGATTGCGAAGTAAAACAAGAGTTACTCGAACAGAAGCACTTTTATACTTGAACAGTTGATGTAGTAACCAAGATAATTAGTCAGTGACTGACTGAACAGCATATAAGAGACCACTACTCGATACTCCTTGAGGCCACCCTTGATATTTCACAAATATCTACAAGTTCCTTGCACAAGTTGGCCATATTGTCGATGCTCAATGAATCTATTTTAAATAAATATGCAAATACATTTTACACAATAAAGACGGCAAGATATTTGTGTATTAAATAGGGGTATTAAATAGCATTTAGAGGTGAGAAAATAAGTAATGTCGTTAAGGCTCTGAACTTTTAGAAAGTGAAACAGAATAATGGAGTAAATTAGAAGATGAAGGGTGTTTTAGACCTCCTGATTAAAAATGTACATTTCCAGAAAATATATGTCTCATATGCTTTTGTGTGTATTCACATAGCAGTTCCTCGGATTCAAAGAGACCTCCTGCCAGTTGATCCCGCCCTCCCCTGCTCTCCATTGTTAGTTACCTCTCATCCTATAGAAGCCAATTTATGGAAGGCCTCTCTCGGGACGTCCGATTGGGGTGCACCTGTTCATGCCTCTTTGTCCCCACACTTCTCTTTGGGCGGCACTCACTGCACTGAAGTGTTGCTCCCTTCCACCTGCTTCTTTCAGTGTAGTGAATGCTTGGTGACAACAGGACAACATCTATTCAGTTTACTTTTCATCCCTAATCCCCAGCGCAGCACCTGCAACATATTTGGAACCCGGTGCGCCTTCCAAATGAACACACAAGGCAGCGTCCAGTCCTGTACCGTGCTGCGGCATGTCAGGGTAGGAGGGTATCCATTTCGGTTCACTCTCGCTAGTACTGGAACTTCATTTTCCTCTGACTTGGGTCAATTAATGGACGTGAATATCTTGCCTTAGTCGTGAGGTTGGGTTTTGCTTTCCATTTTCTCACTTGACATGGGTGTTTACCTTTGAAACACTGCTGCATTCTCGTCTTCCTATAGAACATATTGTTTTCTAAAAATCCCACATGCAGGCTCATTTTGTAGGCTATTCAAAAAACTGACACGAGATAATTTTCTGTTTCTACTTTTCTGCATTTTTTCACTATTTTTGACTTCTCTGCATTTTCTCAACATTGGGTTGGTTGATTATTGTTTACTATGTTTGATTTTGTTTTCTATATGGAAGTGTTTTCTAATTTTTAAGTTTCTTAAGCTGAATAACAAATCTTTTGTTAAACACATCCATATGCCAGACCCTAATTTATCAGGAAAACAGTACACAGGTCAGATACAGTTCTTATCCTTTGTTATCTAAAAATCCAGGAAGGGAATGACAAAATGCACTTATTTATACATAGCATGTGTTTTTGCCTGATAAATTTAGACCACGGCAGTGCTCGGAATTGGTGATCTTGAATCACTCAGGTAAGACTCAAGGTGGAAGGGGCCATAGATGACTCTTTCAGATAAGGGAAGACTTAACCCTGGATCAGTTTGTTCAAAATACTTCCCTCCTATTTAATTATAATAGTTTAAAATTATTTATTTCCTCCTGAGACTGCTTAAGCTGTGTGTCATCACAATTTATATTAAATTTTCAAAGGCCTTTTTTGCCCTCTGTGACTTTAATAAAATGAAATTAATTAAAGTGAACAGTGTGTGCATGACTGTTTGACAGGTAAAAGGTCACACACATTACAAGAAATTAGGAAAGCCTTTCCCCACTATATTGGTTTATCCTCACTGAGAACACCAACATTCAATCCTCCGATCCTTTCCTGAATGACCCATCCCAGCTCCCTAAAGGAGAGCCATTTGGAAAATATTTTAATTTAGTGCACAGCATGAAAATCTAAGAGAGATGCTGGGTGCTTCCTTCCATGCTCCAAGCTGTTGTCTCTGCAGGACCAGGTGGCATAAATTAAATTCACTCCTTCTCCGCTGTGTCTGGCTGTCTCCAGAACAGCACTGTTGTGGGAAAACCCTGCGCTGTGAGCCTGGAAGGGGACAACTCCTCATTTCTGGCAATCCTGTCCTGCTGCAAGGTTTGGTCCTCTGCAGCATGGCTGGAGGCTGTCAGGGACCTGGGTCGCTTTGAGAGAATAGCTCTCTGCATCTCTTGTGGCAGAGAGGAAGGGGCTCCTGGACTGTGCTTGGCATGTTCTGGATTTGACTGTAAGAAGTGTACAAAACTTGGAGTGGCTGCAGAGTATGAATCTGTAGTGAGATTATCAGGGCATTAGGGAAATGACTGGTACCACGACATGGCAAAAATGAGAACTGTGGCCCCACTGCAGAAATAGAACACCTTGGCTAGCACCCTCACTTTAAATTAAAGGGAGCAGATATGCTTTCATTTGGTTCAATAAGATTTGTGGAGGGGAGTAAGCTTGCTCAACAATCTTAAATTTTTTAAACATGAGTGAAGCACCCATGGTTCTGTGTAAGAGGTCTTGTCAAAGCCACGTGACCCTACCTGGGTTGCTGCGGAGACGTCCCAGGTCCCCTCCCCTCCCCCATGGAAGACCACAGGACATTAGCAGACCCTGCCCACACCTGCTCAGGAATGCCACTGGGTGTGGGGGATGCTAGCTCCTAATTCATTGATTATAGTTCCCTTACCCAAATGGGACCCCCAGTTTTCTTCTTTGGGGTGTGATGCCACACATGTGCCCCCCCTTTCATCCACCTTGCCCAGAAAAGTCCCTAGCTTTGGTCCAATGGCCTTTGTCCCTCTCAGGGATTGAGGGGTCTCAGGCCTTATGCAGGCTCCTCTTTACTCCCTTTCCTTCTTCGGGGCTAAAAGTTTCACAATGAGGCTTTCCCCCAGGCATCATCCTCCCCCACAACCCCATTCCAGCGCTCAAGGACTGCTGGGTCACAAATGTCCCAGTGGGGAACCTCTCAGCCTCAACCCCAGCTCCCTCTCCCTGAAGGAAATAATTCTAAATGGTACCAGTTATTTTTGTGTAATGTGATGATGGATCGTTGTTATTTGTTCTTAGACTTTTCTATTATGTGCCAAAGTGTTGTTTTGTTTTGTTTTGTTTTTTACTGGACACAGGTTACACCAAACTACCAGCTTCACATTTATGGGTACTCCCGAGGAACACCTTTCCCACCCCATTAGGAGAAAGTTATAATATGTGAACCATGGAACTCACACCATCATTCCCACCCAACCCTTTGGTTAACCAGACAAAGAACACTTCCAAAAATGATTGTATCACAAGAATTTTTAATGTTTAGAGTTTATTCATAGTGAGGCTGTATACGGTGCTGTGAAGTGTGCCAACTGCCCACATGGAGACCATCCCAGTCCAAACCAGTTCACTCCCAATGGGTATTTCCCGTGCCCAGTGAGGTCACCGACACAGAGGGGCCCCAACTTTTCTCTTGGTCAGGACAGCTTTCCCGTGAGTCCTTCCCAACTCTCCAGAAGAACTCCATCCCAACACACCCAATCGGTCCCATACAAGGAAGAAGGTGGGGAATTTTACAATGTACTTCATAAGTTTAGCACATCTCTGGTACAAAAGAATTCAAGAAAGCACAAAAGCGAAAGCACCAACTGAACTTACTTGTAAACAAACATGCATAAATCTAAACACTACTTAACAGTGCCCAAATGAATACAAGTTGCAGTGAAGGTATAAAAGCACAGTACTGAAAACTTTAAAGTTACACATGATATACTGCACTGTAAATTCTGAATACGCTAATGATCTGCCCCACCCTTTCACAGCCCTGGTGAGGCTCAGAAACCCTGAATCTGCCTCCAGACCTTTCTAATTCCCGGAGACACTGCGGGGGCAGGGGGCAGGGCCACGCGCCTCGCGCAGGACTCTGGCCTCCTCCAGAGCCTCTCTGTAGCGGGTGGGCCAGGCCTGGGGGTCTTTCTTGAAGACCCTGGACAGGAACAGCATGATCTGCATCTTGGTGATTTCACGGCTGGCTCTGGAGCCCCAGAAGAACTCGTACTCGGGAGGCTCCACGTAAGGGATGCGCCGGTACTTGAGGTAATTCTGCTGGACGAACTCCTCGGTGATGAGCTTCCTCACGTCCCCGAAGGTGGCGTGCTTCTTCCAGGGCCGAAGCCCCAGGATGCGCAGCACGTTCCAGACGGCACTCTCCCTGGCACCGCGGCCCTTCACGTAGATGAGGCTCAGGATCATGAGCAGGAGGCCGGTCATGGGCATGCGGCTGTTCAGCGCCATCCTGTCCAGCTCCTCCGGGTCGAGGGCTTTGACCAGCGCGAACTCCATCGTGTGCAGGCTCACCAGCCTCAGGTGCAGCCCGAAAACTCTGGCGAGGATGAGGCTGGTGCGCCTGAGGATGCTTCTGCACCACTTCTTGTAGCTGCCGATGACATCCTTCACCATGTCTGGAAACCAGATGACCATCTTCCTCTGGTCCCTGACCAGCACGTACCACATGAGCTCGTGCGCCTTCTGCACCAGCTGGGCCGGGGCGGGCGGCGCGGGGCCCGGCTGG